AAACGGCGAAAGAACAAACACGAATTAAGGCAATTGGTTTAGATAGTTAAGAGAAATTTGATATCCGTGTGGCTGATGGGTCACTGACCATCGTCATTTTGTTTAGTAAAGCCTGTTTTGACTTCACGCCATACATTAAGATTAACATTTAGATTAAGAGATGCTTTATCTGTCCCACAGTGAGGAAATTTCAGTGTTGCGTCACCGGTTACAAAACAGTAGAAATGAGGAGCACACAACACAAGAGAAATGAACAATAACTCTATAATAAAATAGAATAAAATAACACTCTAAATGTAGCATAATAAAGAAGCAAGTATAAAATCTCTAGCTTTAGCATATTAAAGAAGCAAATCCAAAATCTCCAAATTTGGCATAATGAAGAAGCAAGAATTAAGCATGAAATGACTGACTTTAGCATAAAAAGAAATACGTTTTAAGTCTATCTTTAGCATATTAAGGAATTATGCATACAGTATAGTTTGCAAATCAACCCTAACCCATTGCAAACTGCACGTTCATAACGCAAAAGCTGAGGTCATTTCAAATAATAAACCATTTTCAATCTTGCCACGTTTGTATAGTGAAAACCCATTGCGGAATAACACCTAAATTGCCTCTCCGTTCCGACTTATTTTTTATGATTGACATGCTGCCGTGGAAACAAAGCCGCCAGTCCTTGACAGCTTGGATAGTTTTTTTTATTGCCCATTAAAGTTCAATCATGTGCTCGAAATAAAAGTAGCTATTTGCCGACGTATATTGCCGTCAAACTTTCCCAAAGATATAAAAATGGACCGATTTTGACATTCTGAGAAAAAAGTCTATATCTGGCACAAGAAATTCAGCTCCAGTTATGATTACAGCCCAAGTCACTGCGGGGTGATAAAGCCCAAACGGTCCAGCGAGTTCTGATGCCAATGGAAAAATATGGCTCCATAGTAGCGGGGGTTTTTGGACATATAAATATATGTGAATGTCCAAAAGATTAAACATACTCCATCCCTGTGGTGAGAACCTTAGCTTGTTCTCTCAGTAGGGTAGTTTCCTCTGGAGGCTATAGTGGCTTATTTGACCCAGAATGCACAGATATAGGCTAATCCTCCAGCTTGGCACTCCTATTAACTCATATTTTTATACTATATTCAGTGTAAGAGCAGCAGTCAGACCAAACTTGCAGTGGTGGGTGATGGGGAACAACCTTATTTATCTGTTATTGGCCAAGATTTCACAAATTATTGTTGTTGTTGTTCAATCAATGGAAGTTACTGCCTTCAATAATAATAAGCCATCAACTAATTTTGTCAAACTTTATCTTAGCCAACACAATATGTTATACCTCATGTAAGTGAAAGTATGCAAAAGAAAGCGCCAAAATAGAGATAATGAACACAAGTTAGCCAACACGTCATAGATCATTTTAACCTCTAGAGGGGGTAGATAAAAGGTTCTCCGTCTTTTGACAAATTAAAAAGTCTAATAGTCGTAACTAGGATTGGCTTGCTTCATCATTACTTTATTAGTACTTAGGGGCTGAGTCGACAGCACTCTCGCTTCTCAGCAAGAAGGTCCTGGGTTCGAATCCCGATCGGAACTTGGCCTCTCTGAGTGGAGTTTACATTTTACACCTGTGTCTTAGTAGGTTTCCTCCAGGTACTCCGGTTTCCCCTACCACTAAAAAACATGTCCAACAGGTCTGAATGTAATGAGTGAGTGAATGGATGGTGTGGGTCGAGGGCTTTGATGTGCCAGTGTGTTTCGGGGTCTCGCTTCTGTCCAGAATGGAAAAATATATTGGATTTCTGAACATTGTAAAGCCCTTTAGGCGACCTTGGTCTGTAAAATGCGCTATATAAATAAATTATACTTACTTAGTAGAATATATAAATGTAAAATATAGAGTCCCAATATGATTTCTTGTGTTTTGATCATGCTTACTGTTACACCAGTATAGACCAACTGGTTCAAATGCAGATAACACATTTTCTAACAAGCCCAAACTAACCAGTCCCACTCCCCCTGAACCTCTTTCTAAACTGTTCGCCAGTGAACTTGAGAAACACCTTCGCGTGCCATAAATTCTCCAGGAAGTCTAGAGATAGCTTCACGTCTGGAAAACATAGGTCCAGTTGGTATTTCGCTTTCGCCTCTAATGGCCTTGTAATCGCCAAGATACCATCGGTGCAGTGCGGCAGCTGTCCCAAATTGCTGGTCCAAATTGTGCTCAGCTTTGGCAATAGTGCAAGCCTCATAGGGTCTGGAGAAGCATGTCCACGGTGACATAACAGGCTCCGGTTAAAGGCCTGCAGGGGGACAAGGCCACGGTTTGTTCTAGTCCTTTCCTGTCTGGGGCTCCATATGTTTACATTGTGGCTTTGACACCCATTCACCGCACAAGAGCTGAAACAAACCAAACCACTATTTCTATCGGAAAAACCCCCACAGAGGATGATTAGATGCAGAATTGTTATGAATAAATATTGAATTTGGTTATGGAAAGTTGTGTGTGTTTTGGTTATCTCATGCTACACGTGTATCACTCATCATGGTACCATTGAACTTGTTGTGTTCAATGTAGTACGTTTAACCGCATTGACTTCCTTCTCTATGCGTTCATCCCCGGATAATGGCTCGCACATGTTGGCCCGAGTGACCGAGGCAGTTTTGGGACACTTTCAGCTGTACATGCTTCCTGTCTGTGCCCGAAAACAGCCATGGATAAAGACCGCAGAAGTCCATTTGAATGATGGAATGCTTTTTAACGATGGACTTACAAAACTGTCGCTGCAATGTCCTATACACGAGCATAAATGTTGTAATTACATGATTTTAGATCTATTATGCAAGTCGTTTATAAGACCGTTTTCCGGTCTTGTAATCAATCTATCAATGAGAATAAGCCAAATCTAGTATGACATGAAAATAGTAAGAAAAATGTATCAAGATGTGTGGCTAAGCCGGTGTTAAACTGGCTATATAGAATATATTTTAAGATTTGCATAAGACCATTGTGAATTGCCAACCCTGCCCCAACCCAGAAATGGACTAAAGGGAAGAAAAAGACCATCTTCATTGTGTATATGTTTGAAGGTTACAAATTGTAAGTAAGTAAGTAAATAAGTCATGTTTATTTATATAGCGCATTTTACAGACCCAAAGCACTTTACAATGCTCAGAGTCAGATATTGTTCCAATCATTCCACACACGGTGATGACAGAAGCGAGTCGCCGAACTCACTGGTTCATCAGCCCCAATCAACACCATCCATTCACTCTCTCATTTACATTCATATCTATTGTGCATGTTTTTAGTGGTAGGGGAAACCGGAGCACCCGGAGGAAACCTGCACAGACACGTTGAGAACATGCAAACTCCACTCAGAAAGGCCCTGTTACGACCGGGATTCGAACCCAGGACCTTCTTGCTGAGAAGCGAGAGTGCTATCCACTCAGCCACCGTGCCGCAAAAAAGGCCATACATCCCAGTAGCCTGAACTAGCATGCTCAATTCCCAAAAGAGTGCAAAACATGAAAACTGAGAAGAATCCGCACAGCTATGTTGCTCCAAAGTTTATTTTATTCACAGACAAAATTTAAGTAAGTAAGTGTAAAAAAAGACCCTTGGGAGCAACATAGCTGTACGGATTCTTCTCTGTTTTATGTGTGAAGGTTAGACATGTACACATTCGTAAGGCTCAAATTTTGTGGCAAAAAGTGGGTTTCTCAGTAGGATGGAAATGGCATAGTGTAGACCATTAAACTCCATCCTACAATCAAAGGAATTGAAGAGGACTGCTGGTAAAGTCTATGATAATTACACTACATTTCTTACAGTAGACCACACCTGCCCACCTGTCCAAACGGCTTTATCACTGCCTCCATTCATGTGTTGCTCCACCTGCCTCTGTGATATCCTATCAGTGGGGGGGGGGAGAAAAGCACTTTGAATTAACAGACACTCCACACATCTTGCATTAAGGCGTAGTAGATATACCTTTGCGACCTCTTTACACCAACAAAGCCCTAATTGCAAGTTTTGGACTGTTTTCCTAACTTTCCAAGCCTGTAATTAGAGCCAATCTTGAAAGCCGCCACTCTGCAAAATGTCGAAGATAACTTGCATGGCTAGTTTTGCCCTCAAGAGAAGATGGAAGCGGGTGTAAATGCAGGTGTGTACCCTTTTAACTTAGAAGTGAGGTTGATGTTTTCGTGATGTAAAGCCACTTGTACATGTCATCCACAATGGCTGCCTAAAAAGCAAGTAAGCATAGCCCCAGGGTCAGAAATACCACACACACCAGCTGCACCACAAAGAAAACAGCCTGTATCCCTTTGCTCTGGCTGTCTCCACTTTTTTTTATCCATCTCCAAACAAGCAATGGCTCGTTTTGAATGTCCACAAACCAGGACTTTTTGAGTGGCCCCATATGTTTCACATTAAAAGAGCTCTCAGGAACACCAAAGCCCACAAAAAGCTACATGTACCCCCCCAAATTACATAGTCACAACACAAGTGAAGTCAGGCATTTAAGAAAAAACAAAAAAAAGGAGGTCAGATTGAAGTAACTCAAGCTTACAATGATACTCTTGTATAGTGTTCAGAAATACCAGATCACTGCTATAGGGGCTGCTTCAATGACTGTGTTCTCTGTCTTGTGGAGGTCTGAGCGGCTGGGACAACAACAGTAAAGCAGTCTTGACTTCTCCACACACAGTCTTGGGTTTAAGTTTAAGCAGGACAGAGAGCCAAAGCAAACACACACACACACACACACACACACACACACACACACACACACACACACACACACACACACACACACACACACACACACACATAAAGCAATACTGCACTATGCCCCTTGCATAAATCAGCAATGAAATGTGATTGCAGCAGGCGTAAAGTGTTTGGTTTCCCGTGCGTAAAAGTGAAATATGTCATGCGTAAAGTAAAGTTTGGCGTCAGCATCATGGGTGAAAGTAGTGTCTAATAAGTTTACCTTGTTATAGCGAGTCAGGATTCCCTTTTGTGAGAGATGAATGGAATATATGCAAAGTCCTCAGCCGTTCATTGTCGTCTGCAGGAATGCCCGCCTCTTTAAATCCAGCTTCTCTCCGTTAGATCCAAAGATGCAGACGCGTCGCTGTCGCTGTTGCTCAGACTCCACTCTTCCAAACCCGTTGTTCGTAAATCTGTTTCTTGGAAGTGTTGCTGTTGTCTGTTGAGTTTACTGCTCTGCCCGCGCACTTCCTCCAATACAAGCCGCCGCCGTAACCACCACAAGTCCTGGCATGGGACAGTCCTCCTCCTCCCACTGCGCCGCCAGGGCTGTCTCCCCCTGGTCCCTCCCCCTTCACTGCCCAGGCTTTTCTCTCTCCCATCGCTCTCCATTTGTTCTCACCCTTTATCCTTATCACGCAGACGGGACTTCCTGCCGACGCCACCTTTTGGCCCCTCGCAAAGCCTTGATAAATGTGTGGTAAATTATTGATTTGATTTGTAATAAGAACTAGAAACTTGCAATGGCTGAAGCCATTGCGATTGACTGCGGAACAGATCTAATGTGGAAATCTGCTAAAAAAAATCCTTGAAATCCTTTAAAAAGCCTTGAAACTGTTAAAATACTTGATAGATATTTGAAACTCCTGAAGTCCTTGAAATTGTTGAAACCTTTAAACTCCTGAAATCCTTGAAACTGTTGAAACATTGAAACTCCTGAAATCCTTGAAACTTTTTTAAACCTGGAAACTGTTGAAAGTGTGGAAACTCCTGAAATCCTTGAACCTCCTGATATCCTTGAAACTGGTTAAATTCTTAAACAGCTGAAATCCTTGAAACTACTGAATGTATTGAAAGTGTCCTTGAAACTGAAAAATCCCCTCACCGCTGAAACAATTTGGTTCCTGTAACTAAGGAAACCTGGTCTGTGGTCATTATCTGGTGGTGGTCTGAGTCTTCGTTTGGGTCTTGGTCTGGTGGTATAATGCAACCTATTAGGTTGCATTATACATGAAAAAAACCCTATTAAGTTGCATTATACTGGTTTACATGAAAAAAACCCTATTAAGTTGCATTATACTGGTTTACATGGAAAAATCCCTATTAAGTTGCATAATACTGGTTTACATGGAAAAAATCCCCATTAAGTTGCATTATACTGGTTTACATGGAAAAATCCCTATTAAGTTGCATTATACTGGTTTACATGGAAAAATCCCTATTAAGTTGCATAATACTGGTTTACATGGAAAAATCCCCATTAAGTTGCATTATACTGGTTTACATGGAAAAATCCCCATTAAGTTGCATTATACTGGTTTACATGGAAAAATCCCTATTAAGTTGCATTGTACTGGTTTACATGGAAAAAACCCTATTAAGTTGCATTATACTGGTTTACATGGAAAAAACCCTATTAAGTTGCATTATACTGGTTTACATGTAAAAACCCCTATTAAGTTGCATTATACTGGTTTACATGGAAAAATCCCCATTAAGTTGCATTATACTGGTTTACATGAAAAAAAACCCTATTAAGTTGCATTATACTGGTTTACATGAAAAAACCCTATTAAGTTGCATTATACTGGTTTACATGGAAAAAACCCTATTAAGTTGCATTATACTGGTTTACATGTAAAAACCCCTATTAAGTTGCATTATACTGGTTTACATGGAAAAATCCCCATTAAGTTGCATTATACTGGTTTACATGAAAAAAAACCCTATTAAGTTGCATTATACTGGTTTACATGAAAAAACCCTATTAAGTTGCATTATACTGGTTTACATGGAAAAATCCCTATTAAGTTGCATTATACTGGTTTACATGGAAAAATCCCTATTAGGTTGCATGATTACACTGAAGTCCTTGAAACTGCTGAAGTCCTTGAAACTGCTGAAGTCCTTGAAACTGTTGAAGTCCTTGAAACTCTTGAAATCTTGAAACTGCTGAAATCCTTGAAACTGTTGAATCCTTGAAACTGTTGAATCATTGAAACTGTAGAAATGTCTGAAAGAGCTGAAGTCCTATTAAAATGCATGGGCCTATTAAAATGCATTGCAGAATTCTCAATGCAGATTTTTGTCCGATTGCGGAAAAACCGGAAATCGCTGAAGTCCCAAAAGTAATAGCAATAATCTCCCAAACATGTGGAACGTTTTGATGTATAACTTGTGGAAATTGTTGAAAATGTGAAAGCTGTGAAACGTGTCAAAAAAAATGACGGAATAAAGAAATACAAAACCAATGGTTGACTGCGGAAGGTTCCGCAGTCAATCAATAAACCTGTTTCTATTAGTATTCTTACTTTCATTCACATGTTTTCAAAGTATCCCTGTGCGGGCTTGCATCTACCTTTTTGTGCAAGAAACCTGTTATAATGTAATATTGTTATAATAATCCATGGATAAACTCTAGAAGGGAACACATGGAGACAGTGTTGGTTGTGACTCATTTAGACACAGTAAGTTAAACTAGTTAGTGGAACACATTACTTTTTCAATACTTGTCATTAGATTACATTTAATAATAACACAATAATTCGTCCTTGCAACACAAATAACAACTGGTATTGTTGGATTTGCGATGTAACATTTGAGTTGAAGCATCTAGTCTATCAGCAGCAGTGATGCAGAACCTGTCCAAGCCTCTTCCATACAAAAGAACAATGTATAAATTGTTGATAGATTATATTACAACAAAAAATAATCAAGTAATGTTACATTCTTTATGTAGAATGCGTTTATTAGAATTGAGTTATAATGTAACTTTATTAATTGGATTCTTTCATTTCTACTGAACATGAAAATCTAAATCCTCTGATATATAACAGGATCTTGTCATTTAGTAAAAAGCACACAATACAATTAAATTCAAGTTTAGAATTCAAAACTTTATTTATGTTTCAAAACAAAAATCAAATACAAAGATCCATACTTTCTAGAAATAAGCAACTACCAAACATTATAATTTCATATATTCTCAATTCTTATCAAGCAGTGGTATATTAAAAATACAAAATTGTTGGCGCAGATCTCTTATGAAAAGCTGGATAAACATGAGCCCCCTTTAAAACTACAGTGTAAGCCATATATTAAAAATGTAAAAAATAAAAAATTTAGCAATACATTGTTAAACGCCAATGTTACAAAAACGTGTCTGATCATTTGAACGCTAATCACCCATGAATCAAACAATTACAAGTTAGTGTAAGAAAAGCCGTTCTTTACATCATGTCAAACCTGTTAGAAAAAGTGTATTCAGACTGCAAAACACAAACTTGAATACTGAAGTTAAGTTTGAATTAATAGTGCATTAAGATTTAACAGAATTGTTGCTAAAGGCCGAGCTGGTGGTGCTAGTGAAACTATAGCTGTATGAGGAGTAATCCACGCTGCCTCTGCGGGAGCCACTTCTGGAGCCAGTGCGAGAACCAGCCCTTGAACCAGATCTTGACCCTGGGTTGGAGACGTTATATGGACTGCTTATGCCTTTGCTCGACACTGACGAAGCCTGCAACATCTTCATGCCGTTGCTCTCTTCAACCATGCAGCTGTCCATGGCGTCTTTGTATGTGATCTTGAGTTTGGTTTTGGGGCATGTTATGTTCTTTAGGTGGTTCTTTGAATCTTGAAGCTTTTGGGCAGCTTTTCCATCCATCCAGCCTCTGTGTATGGCTTCTTCAATAGAAATGCGCCTTCCAGTGCCAGGTTCGATTAACCCCCCGGTGAGGTACTGAAACTCCAAGAATCTTTGACCGGCTTCATACGGCAGCCATGTTTCTTTAACTGCCTCTGCTGCAGACATCTTTCTCTTCGTTTTTACATCTTCAAATCCAACGAATGCTTTCTGGGCAGCTTTCAGCTTGGAGGCCATGCTGTCGTCAATGATGCCTTGATGAACTGCATCTTGCAATAAAAGCCTATTGCCGGTTGAAGGGTTAATGATGCCGCCAGTGCATGCTTGAGCTTCCAGCATTCTTTGGGCTGTTATTGTGTCAACTATACCACGGCGATGCCCTTCTGAGATTGTTATCTTCTCTAAGGTCTCTGTGTCAAAAATAGCTGCTACAGGACTATGGTCATCAAACATGGCTGGTGGAGAAACGGTGATGGATATGCTGTTGAAGCGTTTGCGTACGGTAGGAGAGGATGGAGCAAGTTGAGTAGGACTGCTACAGGTAACCATGTCCTCTACAGTGCTGGCAGAAATTGACATCTCTGTTCCACTAGTTTTGCTTGTGATTAAATCAGCAAACTGTGTAAGAGTTAGCTTTCCATTGCGGTATTCATCCAAGGACGATTTTTCAATGACGCCACGTTCCACACAGTCTTGGATGTCATACTGTGTTCCAGTTTTCCTGTCCACTATCACCAGGCGATTGGAGCCATCAGACCCTTTAATGGTAATTTCTTCCCATTCACACTCTTGCTCGGACAAGTCAAGGAAGGTGTCATAGTCGATGAGCTCTTTATGATAGGCCTCTCTCACTGACATCTCCAATCCTGTGTCTGGGTCCACAATCACAACACGCCTTTTGCGCAGCACATTGGTACGGCTGGTCTCAACTGTCTTCATTTTGTTCTTATCTTTGAGTGGTAATAGAATGAGGCCAGTTTTTTGATCTGTAATGCACCTTTCTTTTAGTTGAAGATATGTGAGGTTTTCTTTGGTGTTAGGGTCGAAGAATCCTTTAGTGTCATCACCCTCATACGTGAGAATCTCATTCATCTCTTTATCAAAGTATCCTCTCTTATAGGCAACATCGACATCAATCCTGTGGCTCTCTTTGGGGTCAATAATCCCACCGCTAGCTATTTGGGCCTCCAGCAAGCGGATTCCATGTCCTTTTTCAATAAGATCTTTCTCTATTGCTTGGAAGAGGGAGATTGTCTTTCCAGTGTGTGGGTCAATGTATCCAACCACAGCCTTTTCTGCAGACATTAACTTATTTTTAAATTCTTTTCCAACTAGACCCCTCTTTACAGCCTCCTCCACAGGGAGAAAGAGGTTGTTGACTGGATCAACTATAAAGCCAGATGCAGCTTGGGCTTCAAGGAGTTCCAAAGTGGTTCCTCTCATCATCAAGCCTTCCTTCAAAGCCTGATAGAAGGGCATTATCCTGTCATTGGCCTCATCGTAAATGCCAGCAATGCAAGTTGAACCATACAAATAGTTCTTCAGTTTGTCTTCAATGTCTTTGCCTGTGAGTGTTCCTGCATTTAACTTCTCCAAGTCAGTCTTAGTCAGGAGCTCAGATTTTATCAGCTCATCAAGACTGACCTCACCTCTCAAACCTTTAACTGTGAAAGGTTTATCTGGGCCACGCAACAATAGCAATCCAGAGACAGGTTCAACTGTGCACTTCTTCCTCAATTCCCCATAGCTGATCTTCTCCCCTGAAGATGGGTCGATATAGCAGACTGGCTTTTGGCTCAAAGCCCTGTAAAGATCCTCATCAATCAGTTTGCGATCCAACGCCACATCTTTTGGAAGGAAGACCCCTAAAACTGGGTCTATGATTCCTCCAACAGACTCTTGGGCCTGGAGCAAACGTAGAGCAAGATCTTTGTTTATCCGGCCTTGTTTGCAAGCCTGGCCCACTGAAAGCAATTTTCCAGAGTAAGGATCTTTGAAACCAGTGCTAGCCGCTTCAGCTGTGAGCAAAGTGTCTCTGTCATCAGTGTCTATGATCCCTCTGGCAGAAGCAGTATCAACTGGCATCTTCTCATTAAATGTTGGGTCCAACATGTAGCCTGTCGCTGCCTGTGCTTCCAAAAGCATTAGTGCACTGTCGTTGCTTAGGAGATTCTTGTGTTTTGCTTCTGTAAACGGCATTTTTCCATGGGCGCCAGAAGTCATGCCAGCAATTACGCCAGTACCTTTAAGATTTACCTGAATGTCCAGTGCAACCTCTTCCACGGTCTTTTTGCCCTTTAAAAGCAAGTCTAAGGTGTGTTTGCTGATGATGCCACAGTCACAGAGCTGGTGAGCTGTTACTTTGCGGCGGACCCCATCAAATAGTAACTTGGATGGATCAATAGTGGTTTTCTCGTCAGTTTGTGTTTGTCTAGAAAGAGAGTCGGGTCTTTGCTGCAGTCGCTTGATTTCTCTCTCAAGGGTTTCTTTCCTAATCACCAGCTCAGACATGTCCTTCTCAGAGCTCACCAGTCGGCTCTTGTATCTCTCTTCAACGGTCCTCAGCTCCATCATTAGTTTCTCTATTTGAGTCTTCAAGGACTGCCTCTCTCTATCGCCCCTGTCTCGGTCAGTGTTCAGCTGTTTGATCTGGGTGTCTCTCAGCTCGTACTGGGTCTTAATGGTGGTTAGCTCCTTGAGAATGTTGTTCTTTTCATCCTGGAGTCGCTGCTTGTTGCGTATCTCTGTTTCCAGCGTGACCTTAATGCGGTTGAGTTCGTCCTCAGACCTCATGTTCCGGTTTTTCTCTTGTTCCAGTAGTTTAATTCTCGCAAGTAAGTTGTCCTTCTCCCGGTGCATTTCGGTGTACTGGCTCTGGGATTCATGAACTCTAATGGTTGTCTGCAAAAAAACAACAACAATAAATTAGTCAAACTATAACATGTATTTACAGTGCCTTGCGAAAGTATTCGGCCCCTTGAACCTTTCAACATTTCGCCACATTTCAGTCTTCAAATATAAAGATATAAAATTTTAATTTTTTGTCATGAATCAACAACAAGTGGGACACAATCGTGAAGTGGAACAAAATTTATTGGATAATTTAAACTTTTTTAACAAATAAAAAACTGAAAAGTGGGGCGTGCAATATTATTCGGCCCCTTTACTTTCAGTGCAGCAAACTCACTCCAGAAGTTCAGTGAGGATCTTTGAATGATCCAATGTTGTCCTAAATGACTGATGATGATAAATAGAATGCACCTGTGTGTAATCAAGTCTCCGTATAAATGCACCTGCTCTTTGATAGTCTCAGGGTTCTGTTTAAAGCGCAGAGAGAACCATGAAGACAAAGGAAGACACCAGGCAGGTCCGAGATACTGTTGTGGAGAAGTTTAAAGCCGGATTTGGATACAAAAAGATTTCCCAAGCGCTAAACATCTCAAGGAGCACTGTGCAAGCAATTATATTGATATGGAAGGAGTATCAGACCAGAAATGTTGAAAGGTTCAAGGGGGCCGAATACTTTCGCAAGGCACTGTACATGAAAAGTCATACTATATCTAGCCATTGTGCAAAGCAAGACCATAAAACCAAATGTATTTTCTGAGTTCTTACATGTGTTGAATAATATAAATATATATATTTTTTATATATTCAATATTTATTTTATGTAATTCAATTCAGAAAAAACAAAATCCCAAATCCAAGATCCTAGATTTAAGTAATGAAGTTGTTTAAGTGTATTTCATGTTTTTTGAACTCCTGTTTTACACATGTTTTAAACATGTTGCATGTGTAAAACTAAATGTATTGAATATGACATTGTAAGTCAGATAAGCAAGTGTATTGAATGCATAGTTCATATAAATTATGCAATCATATATTATAAACATATTAATAATTACAATAATGTAAGTTCATTTATATTGATTCAGATATATTTAGTGAGTTAGTGTCAGTGATTACACGTGCAACAACATGCAAAGTGTGTCATTAAAAGTCATCTACAAGTGATTTCTACAGTTACTCATGCCAAGCAGCAGCGGAAATGAATTATGTGGAGCCATGGAGGTGATCCGTCCATGCATTTTACAAGTACCTCAATTGACTGCTTTTGGATTTTGTCTATTTCCATTTTTAGCTTTTCCCTCTCCTTGGTCAGGTCGTTGATGAGGGTCTGGAGCTCTGCCGTTCGCTTGGTGCTACTCTGAAGCTGGATGTGCAGCGTGGAGATCTGGGCCGCACTTTCTCCATCGGCTGAGTCTTTTCTACTCTTCAGCTCATCTCTCTCCTGCCTCACTGCTCTCAACTCTTCCTCTAACCTCAACCTCTCCTTGGTCAGATTCTGCGTCATACTTTTCAGCTTGTCAATCTCAGTAGTGCAGTCGTTCAGGTGGCGGCTCTTCTCCTCAATGGTTTTGTATAAGCTTTCATTGCGCTGGTTTAACTCCTGAACTTTCCCCTGTTCTTGCTGCAACTTGCTCTTAAGCGCCTTCAATTCGGCCAGCGCTGCGGCCAGCTCCTCCTTCGTCCTCTTATGCTCCCTCAAACTAGCCTCTAGATCCTGTTTCAGATTTTTTAACTCCTGCTCATACTTCTTTCCCACACTTGTCGACTCTATTTGAACAGACTTGAGCGACGTAATGGTTGTTGTGTACTCTCTGCAAACTTTATTCAGCTTTTCTAACTCAGCCTCTATTCTTTTCCTTCTAGTGAGTTCCTCTTGCGTGGACTTCTTCTGCCTTTCCAGTTCACCCTCCATGGAGTCTAGCGAGTTCTGCAGTTCCCTGATACGGCTCTGAAGCTTGGCCGAATTGTGTTCGGCTTTGGTTTTCTCGCTGCTCTGTTTCTCCAGCTCCACTTTGGTGATACGCATCTCATGTTCCGTGACTTTCATCTTGTTAATGGTTTCGGAGTAGGATGCGTTCTTGACCTTCAGCTCCGCTTCGGACTGTTTCAAGCGGTTCAATTCTAACTCCATCGCTCTCCTCTTTTTGCCCTCTTCCTCCAGGTTGAAGGTGAGGACGCTGATCTGTCTGCTTTTATCCTGGTTGCTTTTAATAGCCTCTTTCAAATTCGACTCATCGTCATCTCTCTGTTGCTGCAGGCTTCTTATCTGCACCTCCAGCTCACTGCGAATTCTCGTCTCCTGTACCAAGGTCGCCCTCTGCTGGTCGGCATCTTCCTCCGCTCTGTTTTTCAGCTCATCACTATGGGCCATAGACAGCCTCAACCTCCGTAACTCCTCCTCCAGCTGTCTCTTCTCTGCAGCCAGTTTGTCACATTGCAGCTTCAGTTCCGTGGTGTCGTCTTCGCGCTGCTTGGACTCCTTCAGGATGGTCGTCTTGGTCACGTGGATTTGTGTCTCGTACGTTTGTTTGAGTTGGTTAATTTCCTGGCTGCACTGTGCTCTTACCTTAGACGATTCCGCTTCGGCAGTCCTGCGCCTTGCGGCTTCTTCCTCCAGCAGAATTTTCATCCCCTCCAGTTCACGTTCTTTGTCTTTCACAGACTTTTCCAGATCTATCTTGGTCCAGTTCAGCTCTTCCAGCTCTTTCTGTCTACGACGTACGGCTGCCTCGTATTCTTCTTGCTGACTGGTGTAACGCTCTTCGGCCAATCTACGCTTTCTCTTCTCCTCCTCTAACTGGTATTTCAGACGTGTTAGTTGGTCGTTTAGGTCTTGGAGTTGGGTTTGGGTGCTGTCGAGACTCTCCCTGGTTGCATTCACTTGCTGCACAGTGGTTCGCTTGACTTCTTCCATAGAAAGGAGCTGATCCTTATATCCGGTCATCTCTAACTTTAAACGAGCAAGTTCATCCGCCAAGTTTTTGTTTTTGGCATTGCGGTCTTGTAGCTCGTCCTTCAGCCGTCTCATTTCTTCCTCAAGCATTTCAATTTTGGTATTTCTGATCTACGGAGAGAAAACAAAACGCACAATTGTAATACATAGTGAGAAAGTTGTTAAAATAATATAGTGCTCAATTTTGTGTGTACCAACAGAAAGACCACAATGTCGTCTTTAACTTATAAACATTTTATACTAATACACTGTGCTGATTGGCTGAGTGAGGGCTGGAACTCTCTTTCACTGAAAAACCTGATCTTAAGGCACTATTTAACGCTAAAATTCACAATATACGCAATGTAGTTCTTTTTTTAAATTGTAAAATTCATATATTCTTTAAAAACATCCAAGATCCTACAACTACTACTAATATGTGACTGAGGCCAAAAACCACCATATAATAACTGCGCATAAGTTAGCCATAATATACCTTTAAGTAAGACTTATTTCACAATAAAGGATTTAGGTCTAATATTAAATGAGAAAAAATATCTAAACTCGTGTTAGATAGATCACCTGAATTAATTTGTTACTATGCCTGCAACATATCTGTATTGACTAGTTATTAATTATGAATTCCATCTTTATTAGTGTTTCCTAAGGCTATGAATAGTGTTGTCGTATAGTGGATAGTAAAGTGGATTTTGATACTGGGGGCTATTAGAAAATAAGTGGTAAACTTCAGCCTCATCCTTTCTGTGTGAAAAATAGTGACATTTTGGATTTGAAATGGAAGTGTTCCATTCAAGTATGGGTTACTTTGAGGGGTTTGAGTTTATGTGACCTATTATAAATATTTTAGTTGCATAGTTGAGTGACACACATAGGTTTTGATTTGTCAGGGCACTTACCTTGAGCTCTTCCATGGTCTTCAGCATTTCCCCTAAGAACCGGTGGTAGTCTCCGGAGCGGGTCAGCAGCTCTATGTAGCGAGACTGAAGCTCGTTGGCCTAGGAAAGCACAAACCTCCGATTAAAACCAGGCCTTAAATTCAAGTACTTAAAAATATTACTTTTACATGAATTTTTCAAACCTCGGTTCTCACGGTCGATGCTGGGGACTGGATCATGGTCTTCTTGATGGGAATGTTCAGCAGAGTTTCGAGTCCGGCGCTGTAGGACGCAAGCTGCAGCTCATAGTCCTAAAACACGACAGCGTTTTTAAACAACTTGTGGTCACATAATACTTTCTCTATTTTAACAAACTAACCGTTATATTGGCAGCGCAAGTGTCCGCATTCTTCTGCAGATCTTCTACTTTGTCCTTCTTGCCTTTGATTTCTGCATGCAACGACTGTGGAGCAAAATGATTCCTTAGACCCACGTCATTATTTAACAGTAGACCCATATTGTATTATTATGAAATTATTTAACAAGCAATCAGTAAAAAAATGTAATTAAAACCCGTAACACAATTTTACACAACAAAATAATAATAATAATTTAAAAAGTGTAAATCATGAGAAGTGAATTTCAAAATGATTTATAGTCGTATTGCTATTTGTCAACCTGCTTTGGATTTTTCCACCCATTAGCTTGTCATTTTAGCAGAAAGCAATAACTCTCTGTCTATATGTCATTCAGGTCAATAACAAGTCATGTGTTGTTTATTAAAGGTGAAGTGGCTAATTGTATGTCATTACATTGTGTTTTATTTTTATTTTCCCCACAGAGAGTAGTGTGTATACAATCAGATCACTATGTTCATCTTCAATCCTTTTTCTAATCAATTTAATTTTGACATCCATGAAAACAAGAGCCAAATGAGTTCATAGTTGACAATTTGGGCTGAGAGCTGAATGACTGAGGAAGAGTGGTTATCCTTATCCAGTTTATCTTTTTCATCTAAACAAAGTCAAACAACAGATGACGAGATGACTAACTAAGCCACAGGCGCCATCTAGTGGATACAATCTGAGACACCCCCAAGACAGTTTTTATCAAGTAAGAGCAAGACAAGAAAACATGAACTTTTATACTTTGTGCAATGTCCTTATTTTGTGATATTTAGTTTAGTTTAATGTTAAATTCTAAGAAATCTTACAGCGAAGCAAAATTTGCATTTATTTTTCAGGAGATTCAGCTGTTTTTCTTTATATATACCTGCATATCTCTTGATATTATTTTCACTAAAGGCATTATTTTATTCAAGAAAATTTGGTAGATAACTTTTATGCAGTGTATGAATAGTTCATTTTCATAAACAGATAAGTACCATTACAAAACTATTTGAAAGGATTACATTTAGCTCTTTACCAATTATTTTTATGATAAGCCAGATACATTTTTTTCACCTCTTCTTGAACAAATTCTTTCAAATGTCAATTATTTCAAACTGTCAACAAGAAAACATTGAACTTTCAGACAGATATCTATTTTTGCATATTGCCCACTGCATTGGATGGTTTCAAACATTCATAACCCTCCTTCAGTGCTGTGAAAATCAGGTACCCCAGCTTTAATATAAGAACGGCGGACGTGCCTTTTGCTGGTTGAGGTGTTCGGTCAGGGTCTGGATGTCATTGAGTTTGACCAGCTGCAGGTTGTCCTGTCGCTTCCTGGCATTGTCTACCCACTGGTCCAGGGAAGTGCTCGTCTGCTGATAATGCTTCAGAAGCTTCTCCTGCTTTTCCAAGTCCCACACTCTGAAGGAAAACGGAAGAGGCAACATTCCAGGTTATTCTTAGGGGTTTACCGTAAAAAACTTATTTTTTTGTTTAAAGAAGACGGATGTAAAGTTGACTTTTTCTCGCATTGTATCACTATGACATCACACTCAGAGCAGTTGTCTGGCTTTTAAAACAAAAAAGGCATTTTGTCATTTACTCAAGTGAGATTATGCTCTTCACAATCACATGGCAGTGGTTTTAATCCCTACTTTTACATTTTGGAAATAAAGCAAAACAAGTTCTACCTCCTCCCTCTAGTGGCAGCAAAGGGATAGGGCAGGCCTTCATACTTGTTTCACAATATATTTTCTACTGAATATATAATTTCACGTTATATATTCACATTGTAAAACATGGAATGATTTTAATGGGCATAAATAACGCATCATATTTCTTCTCAAAGTAAGAGTTATGTTTTCACCTGCTGTCGATCTGGGTGTGGATGCGGCGCCAGCGGTCGGTCATCTGGTTGACCTGGTCGGAGTATCTGGACAGGTCGATGTCGCACTTGTGGAAGGCGTCTGAGATCTGCCCGTTCCAGTGAAAAGCGGTCGACAAGTTTGTCTCCATAGAATTCAGGAGGTCTCGCTTGTGCTCCAGTTCGCCTTTCATTTGCTACGAGGAAACACAAGCAGAAATGGATTATTAAAAGAGCCGTCAGAAATTTAGATGTCAGAAAAATATCTTGTTAGGAATAAATTGAATACTGTTTTTTCTGTTTTTTAAAATCAAATTACACTTAAATACACTATAGGCTATAGGTATGTTGGTTCACATACATTAATAAACATATAAACCGAACAGAAAACAGAAAGATTTAAAGGCTTGAGATTTGAGTGAGATTTGAAGACGATTCTTGGGTTTAATATGCCTTTAAATTTACAAGCAGTTAATAACACACTGAACATTTGTGGTAATGTCGTTATAAAATAAATGTGCTATTACAAAACATCATCCCTTTAGATGACTAATAATAAACTCTAATACTGTAATAACTGTATCTATTGGACAACAAACGCAAACCTTCAGAGTGGTGCGATAGTGTTCGATCTCATTCGCGTCCAAAGAGGAAGTCTCTTTCTCCGTCAGACGAGCCTCGTGCACTTTGATCACATCCTCGGCCTGAAGCAGACTCTGCAGCAGGGCCTTTAGAGCCGTCAGTCTGTCAATAAACAACATATTAAATATGTGAATGAGAAAATGCACAAACACAAATTTACAATAGTTTCAAATCTCCTCTGTACCTTTGCAGATACGCAGAATACAGTCCCTGCATCCCCCCCAGTTTGTGGTTGATGAATTCCAGTTCGGCCCGCAGGAACTTGGCCTGTTCGGACTCAGAGGGGATGCCCTCCAGCTGCTTCATGATGCTCTCCCGAAGACGTAGGTACTCGTCGTGCATCGTGTCCAGGTCCTGGTGCACCAGCTTTAAGCACAGTCACGTGATTATGGAACAAGATCAAAACTGGTGAAATTCTACTACTTTCATTGGAAATATAACGGACAAGACTTGGAGTGACATACAGTAAATTGAGATTTGAAGGTGATTCATTGGCTTAATATGTCTTTAGATTAGATTAGATTTGTGATTAGATTAGTTTTTGCAGCTCATAACTAACTGAACATTTGTGGTATTGTCAGTGTAAAATAAATCATTCCTGCAGTCGACCAATAGCAACCTGGAATGTCCCCTCTGTGGGACGAATAAAGAAGCTCTTAATCTTAAAACAGAAAATATACCTGTATCAGCAGTTTTCAAGGTCTATAGATCAAAACGACAGCAGTCATGTAACAGCAAGATTTCATTTTTCTTAAGGGGGGAAATCTGAAAGAGTCAATATGTTGATTTTTTTTTTATCTGAGACTCCAGACTCTGGGTAAACATGAACGAACAGATCCATTCTTTTATTATCAACATGTTCATGCTGTGTTTTTCTTACGGCACGTTTATACTTGTTGCTGCCGTTCACTTTAACTGGACCAAGTCGTGCTCACTTGGTGAATGAACTAGAAATGGCTTATGTTATTGTGAACCAGAATAAAATAATATTCATATGGCAACATTGTTTGAATCACTCTTTGGTTGCCACTTCCTTTGATGAAATGCTGCTGGCTTTGACCCCAGCAGCTGAAGAGGAGCAGCTACATGTGTGAATAGAGAGAAAACACTGGAAACACTTATTTGGAGAAACATTCTACACCAGTAAGAGCAAATATGACTCGGGCTGTCGGTTTAGGTCGTGTTGTAGTCGACAAAAATCCGATGTCATTGAAAACATTTGGTAATATTTGCAATTCAAGCCACGTCAAACTCTCAATTTAGTAAGTTTGTGTAAGCCCTCAGTCGTACAGGGATTAGTCAAAGCAAAGGAAGGTTTCTCACCCATCATCTGTACTTCTTAGCAAGTTTTCCCGACGTTTCGTCCTCAGCCTGGGGACTTCCCTGAAGAAGTCCCCAGGCTGAAGGACTTCCCTGAAGAAGTCCCCAGGTTGAGGACGAAACGTCGGGGAAAACTTGCTAAGAAGTACAGATGATGGGTGAGAAACCTTCCTTTGCTCTCAATTTAGTAGTTTTGTTAATCCTTTCATTATAAATATATCCATGTAATGTCAACAATGCAAGTACAAATGAGGCTAGATGGTGATTGTTTTGGATACTTTTACATGCCCACTTTCAGTCGACCAATCCACTTTACAGGTCGATCTACAGCTCTAAGAATGTCTGATAAAACGGTGCTGCAGTCTTTGGAGTTGAGCTCATCAAACACATTTCATGACAACATGAACATACCTGTAGCTTCTGGATGTTGAGGGAGCACTCGTGCAGGCTGTTCTCCCCCAGGGGCACGTGCAGGTGGCTGCTCAGGTCGGTCTCGGCCTGTTGCAGCCTGAAGCGCAGGTCATGGAGGCTGTTGAGCAGAGCCACGCTCAGCTTGGACGTGGGAGGAGCTGTTTTGGTTACAACCACCTCAGTCACCTTCACCTCTTTGGAAGTGTCTGGTTTGGGTTTTGGCTCTGTGGGGTTTTGAGTAACTTCTGTTACAACTTCTTGTCTGACCTCTCCAGCTGCAAAAAAAGCCACAACAAGGACCTTTTTAGGTTTTATTCTGTTGATAATTAGTAGTTAGTTGTTAGTAGTTATAAGTAGTTAGAGTGGACAATACTACACAATAACACTTCTACTCCTACATGCGTCATGTTGAATGGCATCTTGCAATGTATGTATTAAAAACATTTATACACAAAAACGACAACTTTACTAAAACAAACTCCTACAAGCAACAAGCAGGGTTTTTCCATAACCCTGATTACGGTGGGTTGAATAAGGCGCCTATAAATACTACATAGTGTACATGTAAACAACTAAATAAAAAATATAGAAATGGGTGCTGGTTTAAATTCTTAAAATCACTCATTTGATGTAGATGTGACGATAATCTCAATCGCAAAACGTGGTATGGTATTTTAAAAACTAAATATTTTCTCCAAGAAGTACAGTATACAGTTTATCTCGAACAATTACATACCCTGGCAGAATTCACATCCTCATTGCCAACAACAGAAATCAATTATTCATATACCCGGCATATTTTGAGTTCACACCTAGGCACAAACTCAACTTCCGGTTGAGTGAACGCAGGCGCGTTTTTGCAGCCGCTACTCTCCGGACTACACGGAATAAAACATTGTTTACGCTATATTGGATGTCGTGATTACGCAGTATCTAAAGGGCTGCTGGTTTGCGAACTATACCAACGGTAGTTTGCTGTTGTCAGTCGCATTAGTGGCTGTTTGTAACATACTCCTACCTGGAACCCCTGGTTGTCGTATTCCCCTCCTGGGAAACGATGTGGATCTACCAAATAACACGTTGGTCTGCTGTCATCTGGCTCGTCGTGTCCCTCGTCCACTTGCAAACTAACGCACTCCTCCAATACTCCGCTGTGAATCTCCTAAAACTTCGACACCACGTCTCCGCTCCTCCTCTACCTGGCCTCGGGCGTGACATCCCTCCGGACATCGCTTTCCAGCCCCGACGGAGATACGTTCACCGTGGATCTCGTCGTAAGTTCCAATACAATGACTCTCATCCAATAAAGTCAATCTGGTCTACCACACGCCGCCGCTCCCGCAACGCTACTCGGGATGTTGATCACAGTGCCCTGGCCAGTCTAGCTAGGTCGGCTAACTCCGCTGCGGCCAAGAACAGCTCCACCACTGTCAGCTTCGGTCTCCTTAACATCCGCTCTCTTAGCAGCAAGGGGCATCTGATCCGCGATGTCCTTGTTGACCGAAAGCTTGACATCTTGTGCCTGACCGAAACATGGCAGCAGCCAAATGACTTTGCCTCTCTCAACGAGTCCGCTCCGCCGGGGTTTGTTTACGTCTGCCAGCCCCGCACATGCGGCCGCCGGGGCGGAGGTCTCGCGATGCTACACCGCGAGAGTTGGAAAGTCGTTCCTGTGCCTGCTGCCCCTGTGTTCTCCTCCTTCGAGTACTCTGCGTCACTGCTGCCTGGACCCTCACCTACAGTTATTGCCACCATCTACCGCCCACCAAAACACAACAAAGACTTCCTAAACGATTTCTCTCACCTGCTAACACATTTCACATCCATATCTCAAAATGCAATTATTCTTGGTGACTTCAATATTCATATAGACAATAACAGTAATGCTCTCTCCAAAGACTTTTCATCCTGTTTAGATAGTTTTGGCCTGCAACAACACATCAATTTCCCTACACACTGTAAAGGTCACATCCTGGATTTAGTCTGTTGCTCCGGTCTCACTCCCACTGACTGTAAACCTCATTCAATCCCATACTCCGACCATAAGCTCATTACTTTCAACACCAGCCTCACCCTTTACAAAATCATCCTCCCCAGAATCATTTCTTTCCGCAAGATCAAAGATATAAACCCTGCCACCTTTTCCTCAGACATTAACAATCTCCCTAGTACTAATCCTAATAGCTCACCTCACGATCTGGTTTCCCACTACAATAGTAATCTCCATAACCTGTTAGACACTCACGCTCCACTCAAAACCAGACATGTCTCTTTCACCCGCTCCGCACCCTGGTTCACCCCCGCCCTCCGTCAGCTCAAATCCCAAGGACGACAACTAGAACGACTATACAATAAAACTGGACTCACTATACACAAAGAAATGTACAATAACCATATCATTCAATACAAGGACAATCTCTCCTCTGCCAAATCCGCCTACTACTCCGGTTTAATTTACTCCAATCAACATAACTCTAAAACTCTCTTCTCTCTCCTCTCCAATATCACAAAACCCCCTGACTCTCTCCCACACCACATGCAATCCACTGACTTCTGTAACTCACTCATGTCTTTCTTTGTTTCCAAGATCTCCAATATCCATCAACACCTGTTCACATGTGGAGCTGCAGTTTCTGGAGTAGACTCCCCGGCCCCCCACTCATCTCTTACAACTACATTCTCCAGCTTCATCCTCCCCTCCGTTCAAGTCATTTCCGATTTCATCCTCAAATCCAAACCCTCAACCTGCCCGCTTGACCCCCTCCCTACAGCTCTTGTTAAATCCTGCCTTCCTTCACTTGCTCCCTTTATCACCAATATCATCCACTCATCTCTTATCTCTGGTACTGTCCCTTCTTCACTCAAATCCGCCACAGTCACACCAATCCTGAAAAAGCCCGGTTTGGACCCCACCAACTTTGATAACCTCCGTCCCATTTCAAACCTTCCCTTCGTCTCCAAAATACTCGAAAAATCTGTCGCCGCTCAACTCCATAACCATCTTATCACAAACAATATCTACGAGAAGTTTCAATCTGGCTTCCGTCCCCTTCACAGCACTGAAACAGCTCTTCTCAAAATCACTAACGACCTCCTCATAGCTTCTGACTCTGGTTTGCTCTCCATTCTTATCCTCCTTGACCTCACCGCAGCTTTTGACACCATTTCTCACTCCACTCTCCTTGACAGACTCTGTTCCATTGGCATAACTCACACCCCCCTTGCTTGGTTCACTTCCTATCTCTCTGGCCGCACACAGTTCATTCAACTCAAATCCCACAGGTCCAACACTTTCCCTGTCTCTGCTGGTGTGCCCCAGGGCTCTGTCCTGGGGCCCCTCCTCTTCATCATCTACATTCTCCCACTCGGTAACATCCTTCGTAAACACAACATTCATTTCCATTGCTACGCGGATGACACCCAGCTCTACCTCTCTACCAAACCCTCTTCATCTCTTCCTCCATCCTCCCTTGCCCTCTGTCTACAAGAAATTCATTCTTGGTTCTCTTCCAACTTTCTCAAACTGAACAGCTCTAAAACAGAAGTCCTTCTCGTAGGCACCCCCTCCACTCTCTCGAAATCAAACAGTTTTCCTATTCCCATCAACAACTCATCTGTCCTTCCCTCCTCTCAGGTTAAGAGTCTGGGTGTCATCCTCGATAGTACACTCTCCTTCCAGTCTCACATCAATAGCATCTCCCGGTCTGCATATTTCCACCTACGTAACATCTCCCGTCTCCGCCCCTCTCTCTCCCCCCACACCACTGCCATCCTCGTCCACAGCCTCGTTACCTCCCGCATTGATTACTGCAACTCACTTCTGTTCGGTCTTCCCAACAAATCCCTCCAGAAACTGCAGCTCCTTCAAAACGCTGCAGCACGAATCATCACACGAACCCCTACCTCTCACCACATCACCCCTGTCCTACAACAACTCCACTGGCTTCCCATAAAACATAGAATCAACTTCAAAATCCTCCTCATCACATTCAAAGCACTTCATAACCTGGCCCCTCCGTACATATCTGACCTCCTCCACATCGCAATTCCTGCCCGCGCACTCTGCTCCTCCTCCACTCTCAAACTCTCCGTTCCACCGGCCAAACTCGTCACCATGGGGCACAGAGCATTCAGTCGCTCTGCTCCCCAGCTCTGGAACTCTCTCCCCTCCGACCTCCGTAACATAGACTCCCTGCCACTCTTCAAATCCAGACTCAAAACTCACCTGTTCAGACAGTCCTATAACACCTAGTTATGCGCGCACCCTCTCAATATTGTACTCTGTTTTATTCTGTCGCTCTTGTTTTTATTGTTTTTAATGTGTCCATTGTACAGTGTCCTTGGGTGTTCTGAAAGGCGCTTTCAAATAAAATGTATTATTATTATTATTATTATTATTATAAACAAAATGGCTTCACACAACCTCTAACTGTGAGTGGATAAAAACTTTCGTCATTGATATTAACAGAAAAATGGCAAAGAAATGCTCACTTGTGCCGGCATGTGTACATTTCTAAAGTGAGACTGGGCTTACAGTAAGTGGGCAGCTGAATGATGAGAGTGTCGTAGTGGTTCTGGGCCTTGTCAAAGTGGCCCTGGATGTGTCTCTTGTCCTCTTCCCCAAACAGCTCGGAGCCCTGGCTGGTGCGCAGGAACTCCTGGTAGTGGGTCTCCAGCCTCTTGATGATGCTGCGGTACTCCTCTGGACGCATCTTATGCAGCTGCGAACAAAAATGGATTATAGTTTTTTTGCTTTATATAATGTGGATATATGTTAGTCCGAGAATAGACCAGCTCTGCTTATATACAAGTCTCTCCAAGGCCTCGCACCTAAGTACATCCGAGACATGATAGTTCCATCTGAACCAACTGTAACTCTGAAGAGCACAGGGACTGGCCTCCTGCTGGGACTCTGAGGAGACCGGTGACTGGCCTCCTGCTGGGACTCTGAGGAGACCGGTGACTGGCCTCCTGCTGGGACTCTGAGGAGACCGGTGACTGGCCTCCTGCTGGGACTCTGAGGAGACCGGTGACTGGTCTCCTGCTGGGACTCTGAGGAGACCGGTGACTGGCCTCCTGCTGGTGCCCAAAGTCAGGACTTGTCATGGGCAGTCAGCATTTCAAATGTATGTGCCAAAAATTGGAAAGTCTCCCTGAGCTTGTAAGACAGGCCTCATCCCAGGCAATGTTAAAGTCCAGGTTGAAAACAGCCTTATGCATATGACTAATTGTTTAAGCATTCATCTCTTTATTTTTTCCACTGAATTTACATATCTACATTGTTTGCACTGTTTTCATATTATATTGTCTGTTTTTTATTGACATGTATTTGAGTTTGGCTTTTGAAGCACTTTGGGTTAAGCTGTATAAATTGTGCCTTATATATACATTTAATTGTTCGGATTTTGATTGGTTGACAGTATTTTCAGCCTGTTGCTCCTTGATATATTCTTACCATGCTCAGCGTCAGCGAGTTGATGTAACCGATGTCTTTCACACAATACTGCCACGAAATCAGACTCTTGATGTTGATATAGAGCTGGTTCCAGATACCCATTATGGCTTCGTAGTACTGCTCATTCCTGCAAAAATATAGTCAAAAATAGGTTTTAACCACTGCTTATCCGCTGGTGTATCCATGGCTACAGAGAGATGCTCCTCACTTGGTGGCCAGTCCGATGCTGAGTGGATTGGGAGGTGGGATCAGCAGACACACAGATGGAATGAGCATGTCTAAGCCTCCAGGACCCGTCACCAGCCACTTACTGCGCTGGGAGTTGTCTTTCAGGATCCCCTCATTTCCTTTCAAAATTCCCTTCTGCAAATGAGAACAAGGTGAGATAATTACATACATTTGCGTCTTGTGCGTCATCGTCGTCTCATTACATATCCCCAAGTTTCTGTTTTGTTCTTAAACAGTATTTCCCTTCCAATACAAGTAAAATTGAGCTTTTTGTTTTACCTGGTCCTGTTTGAAGTCGCACAGGGCCTGGACTAGAACCGGACTGCTGCTCTTGTCCTCTGGGTTACGCGGCTTCAGGCGGACAATACTCTTGGATTTGTTGACCAGGCTCTGGACCTGCCTCTTGTTCTCCATGATGCGCTCTCTTTCTCTCTGCAGAACAATTTGACATAAGGAATCAGAGTAGGTTTATGTATTGAGATTCGAATTTTATTGCAACAAATGTGATTGTTTAAACTGTAAACAAAATTCACGATTCAAAACCCTAATGGAAAACTTGGATACATTTTATCTTGACTTGAATTTGACATTTCCCATCATATGCTTGCTCTAGTGGTGCAGTACAACCTTTTTTAAGACAGGGAAATTAATTCAAATCTCCATCAATATAGAACACTTCTTTTTTGAAAATATTTGTTTTTAACTAAGAACAAACTAGTAGCTCTGAGATAAATTGAAGGACAAAGAAATTTCAAAAAGCACCACACAACTAACCACCAAAAAAACATGCCACAAAACAACTTCTAACACAAATGCTTTATTCAGACTGAGCCAAATCATAAGCTAACATTTGGATGAATGATTAAATTATAACATAATGGAACAAGCAGCTTTATTTGTCCTCTCCAGCAAGAAATTGCTTGATTTTTCCTGAATTCAAAACAACCCATAATACTCATTTATTTGGCAAATGTTGTTTTATCATCACTTTTTGCAGTGTAAATGACAACTATTCTCTTTCCTTGTGTGAAGTAACACTGTTTATCCTGTCACATGTTCTTCCTGTCATGTGACTTGTCTTGTTTTAAAAGAGGCACACCTGAAGGAGATTATTTATGCCCTGACGAAGACCACTGTTGGTCAAAACGCGTAGGCAGTCCATTTCAATAAAGGACTTTTATTTTTTCACTACAACAGAGTGCCTCAGACTCCTTTTTCTCTTTCCTTATTTGCCTTCGTAACAAAAACCGGCTCAGATCTACAGTCGTAGCCTCAATAGCAAACATGAGTCAGCTCTGTCTGTTTGTTCTACGTCGTTATATTTGTGCAGTAAATATCGCAAATACCTCCAGGTTTTTCAGCAGATCCATGAGGTTCTCCATCGGGGTGTTCTTGTCACACGTGAACTTGCTGCGGATGGTCTCGTGCTCTTTCTGCAGTTTGGTGTACGTCTCATTGGCCTCTTTGAAAAACTGCCAAAAGATTGATCCATTTACACTGTTTTTACATTTAAAGACCACTCCTCCATACATTTATGTCGACTGAATGTCTCTCTATCTACTTTATCAATTTATTCAGCCCATATTCCACAAATTTAAATAATGTATAATTTTTTTTTTTAATGGTTCAACTGAAAGCACTTACAGCTACTTAAGAAGAAATTACAGCTACTTTAAACTAGGACGACTGGCAGTTAATGGCAGAACTTGCAGGTTTCTAAAATAAAAGATAATTTCATAAAAGCAAATACATAGAAAAAACTACATATAGATACAGAAAAAGTCACACCGTTATGAGTGAAGTAATTGCACTTCCAAAACTAAAAGCCGTCTAATTATTATTGTATATTTTGTGTGCTCCTATGTGTGCTCCTTCTATGTCCTGTATATACGCGGCAACACCGTCATTTCTCCACTGTGGGGTTTAAATTAAGAAGTAGGTTACGAGATATATGGGACATACATCACCATTTGTTGCTTGTTCTAACTTAAAAAAGGCTCTTGTATCTAGTCGTAAATCTAAGAGACTGTTTTCGAATTGTGTTCTGTTAAGTCTGACGGTTCTATATCGACGTCCGCAGGGCAGCACAGTGATAAAACACAGCAGTGGAAAAGTGCGGCCCAATCGTTGCAGTCGTCTGAACGATCGCAGGGTAAAGATCACATAAAGATCGCAAAGACATATAAACCTTTCACCTAAACCTCGAGTGGTTGATTTATCTGCATTAATCCAGTCTGTTACCTGGCTGTACGCTGCGTTCTCCTTCAGATGGACGTGGATGCACTTGGTGATCTGCAAAAGCCAGCTCCACTGAGTCTGCAGCGTGTCCATGTAAGCCTGTGGGGATAGAGGACAGACAGACATTCATGAAGGGGTTGTCCATCTTTGAAAATGTGTGTTATCAGTCCATTTGTTTGGAAATTCCATTGAGATAGAATAAATATATATTCATTATTAACATGTTTTTTGAACTTACCATTGAGCTAATTTGATAATCTCACGTATTTGTATTAACAGTAGTTTTGATCATCCTAATTTTTTGTATATATTTTTCCGATATAACTATAAAATATATGATAAAGAAAACTTAAGATACACAAATCTTAGTTATTTTTACTATTAAATGATTTCAATATATATTATATGTGTTAATCTGGCTTTAAATGTTTTTGTTTTGTTAGTCCTGATGCTTAAGAAAATTGATTATTGCTCAGGGCTATAATAATCAGTAACAATGCTTAATTGATTGATTCTTTTATGTTTTGATAATATTATATTACACATCATTTTAATATAAATAGTGTACTGCATTGCATTGTGTATTTGTTGCTGTGCTCTCAATGACTATCATGAAATCGTATACAAGGCCTTGAACCTTGCTCCTCATTCATTTTATCCCAAAGTAAATCTATCATAGACTCACAGGATAAATAAGAGCTGGTGCTATGAGACTTGGGTGGCATCTCTGACTGCCACCCCCCTGACCCAGAAATGGATTAAAGGGTAGAAAATGGATGGATGGATGGACTCACAGGCTGACACAGAATGTTTCCTTTATGTTTTGTAAAGTGCTTTCAGTTGCCTTATGCATGTGCTATACTGTGATATAAATAATAAACAAGCCGTGTTGTTCTTTTCCTCGCAAGAACAATACAGACATAAAGCATTACCTCTATCTTATCTGCAGCCGGGTGGTTACTGGTCAGGAGTCCATCTGCTTTGACTTTCAGCTTGTTCAGGTCCTTCTCCTTCTCCTCCAAGTCTCTCATCAGCCTCTGTCCGCACAAAACACACGATTGGAATAAGCTTAGAATGCGATTTTAAAGTGCATGTTATTGTCAGTTCTGCTTCTTACGGAGTAGCTCTCTTGTTTCTTGGGGATGTAGCTGTCGATGTTTTTGTCTCCCCAGTCGAAGACCAGCTCCTCCTCCTCTTTCTCGTTCACCCACATGATGGCTCTGGAAACCTCCTCGATGATGTTCTGCAGCTCACGCAGTTGATTCAAGCGGCTGTGTGACATTTTCTATCAAAGACACAGCAATTAACGTAAACATTAAACATTATGTATCAATCTGATTTCATACGTTTTTTGAAATATCAGCTATAAACTTGAACTGCTTCCCATCCGGGCGTTAGGTAAAAAATTAGGTATAGTAATTTCTACTTCCTTTTTTAGGTCTATGCAAAAATGGACATAAAACAGACTGTGAATAAACCTCATTTAATTCACAAAATTCAATAATAATGGCTAAAAGAACCTTTAAAATTGTATTAGACCTACATTTCATCAAAATTGTACATATATTTGATAATAAAACTAACAAAACTAAGAATAAAACCTGTCAAAAAGGCTTTATGAAAAAAACGAAAAAATATCCTAATTTCTAACTTTAGCGCATTAGCATACCATTAGCCCTTACCCCATGTATATTTGTAGCCTTGAATAATAATAATACTTTTTTTTTTTTAACACTGCCTTTCAAATTTGCCTTTTAAAATTAGAAAATCTGTTGATCTCTAAGAAAAAAATATTCAAACAATGACATTATAAAAAGACCTGCTTTCTCTAATAGATACCTGCAAACTGTCCCATTCTTGCTCCAGAGTGTAGAGATTGCTCTTGTCATTCCTCATGTTCTACAATGAGAAAAAATGGTTTACATTCCTACACATTGCACTTTTTGAGAGAGTGTGTGAGTGTTTACTGATTAAGTTCATACCAGGTCGTCTCTGGCGCGGTCCACCTCCGCACTCCGCTGCAGTGAGCTGTGAGTTTTCTGGTGGCTGGAGATCTGTTTTTCGATGGTGGCCGAGTCTTCCCCAAACGAAGATGTCTCGATCATGCGCTGAAAGAGGAGAAAGAACGTGTGGAAATGTTGGAATAAGTACATGTGTTGTTGCAATAAAGAGCATGGTAATTTCAGAATGAATTCATGTATTTTTCTTATTTTTTTATAATTATAACTTTGGCCCATTGCTTGATTAATAACAGCCATTGCATTAACTGACTGCATTACAACCAAAAAAGGATTGGGCTGAAACACTACAACTATGTAAAAATGTAAATAAAATACATATTACTGTTTTCAAACACAAAATACATAATTGCTAGAACAATGTATATAAATATTTGTTTTCACTTTTTTTTATTGTATTTTTATCATTATTAATGTATATATTAAACTAAACAATCTTTCAAACTACTAAATTCTAAACAGAGGCACACTGTAGAAGTGAAATAAAAGCCCTTTATTCACTGAGGAATCTTTCTTATCAAATGTTGTGTTGCCTTTAGGACAGTAAAACTATGCAGGTCAAGGATGTTGTAGCAATACACATTAATCATTGACACAACACAATGGTATAATCTTTCAAGCCACTTTCTGTCCACACAGACACAAGTTTCGTTAGAGACGGAAATATCATTTACACCTTGGGCAACTCTGTGGGATATTATTTTTCCTTATATTGATTCATCTACATTTGTTATTGTTTTTTCTCGTCAACTTTGAATGTGAACTTGCGCACAGGCAGGAACAAACACTTAGCTGATTACTTTAGATTATGCATTTATGAAGCCAACTAGCGTCTAAGAATCATTTACAGCGACGTATTTTGTACTTGTGTGTTCTTGCTACTACAACATCAAAATAATTTCCCCACTATGGGACAAATAAAGGTTCTCTTATATTATCAAATTATGTAAAAAGTGGATGAAGAGATTAAGTGTATAGGAGGAAGAACACAAACAGCCTCATGATTTGGTGTCTCTCCATTTTAATGATTTATTGTTGATTGAGAAAAGTAGAGAGTGCGGTTTTGGCAGAGCCCTATTCTAGCCTACAATTAAAATTATGAGCGGAATCTTCTTTGGCACTGCACAGCCTAAATGAGACTTCAAAAAATATAAGAAAAAAACATGGTTAAAAGTGACTGCCTTTAAGAAAAATAACGAATTTAACAGAAAACATTAAGACAGACACATACAGCCAATTCATAATGCTACTTTTGACACTTCCCACACATTTTTGCTGCCTTCTGTTGCACTTTTTCTCCTCTAGATGTCAGCATGCGACCATCAAATGTGTAACCAGACTGGAAACTATGTCAACTATTCCCCCCTTGTACTCTGTCCAGTGCCTTTGATAAGACCTTTTTCAGGAAGAACCAAGCTCAGCCTACCCCTGCACTTTGCACACGCATTTTCCCTCCTCTGCTCTCTGGCCCTTTTGTTCTGCAGCCACTCCTTTCCTACAGGCATACTTGGCCTCAGCTACGCAAAACACACAGATCAAGCCTGCCAGATATTTAACTAAAACGTCCGGTTGAAAACATCAGGTCTATTTGGCGTTTTAAAGTTGAGAAAAAGTGTTGAATAACAAAACAGAAGGCGCTGTTTTTGATTTTTGTAGATTACGCAGAACTAGAAAGGAAAGGTTTAATAGGGAGAGGCCACAGTGGTGGTGACAGAAGGGCAGGGTGTGTTTTGGGTTGGGAGGAGGGAGAAAGAGAAAGGGTGAACCTAGGGCGTTTTCCCATGCGCATGTTACAAATCGACTGAACCGGCCTGTCCCATAACCACCCAGTCAGGAGAGAATCAGATTTCAATACTTCACTTTTGGCAAGAAATATCATTACATATTAACAGTGGAATGGAAGAAAATAACATATGTAGATCAATTGTGCGTAAGTGAGCATGTACGTGAGTAAGTAAAGGAGAGCAATGATAAAAACATGGACTACTGTAGATATTAAAACTAATATTTAATTTTGATCGCAGGATTGTGTTTTGTGTTTTCTTTTTTTCTCTTCAGACTGTTCATGTGGATCTAAAAATAAGATTTGATAGCGTCACAAACTTTACACCAAAGTACTACTTATTAGTAACTGGCTCTCTGAGTACTGCCACATTCTTCTCAAGACTATTCCAGGCCAACATTAGGTCTTATCCAGGTTTACAACCATGCACTGCACTGAAAACAAGTCACCCAAAAGTACAACTTTTTACTCCTACCTCTATGAGCGCTAAAATATTCATTATAACTTGCATGCTTAACCCCGCTGCTAAAATGTATTAAGAGTGGGAGCTTATATGTGGCTAGATAATGATGTTTTCTTTGTTTTGGATTGATAAATGCTGGGGTATTTAACTTTTCTGTTTAATATATGATACATGTTGCTTGTCCCAACAGAAAGAGTCTTGTAAAATAAAATGTCCATCCAAAAACGTGCTGACTTTTACCTACATTTTGCTAAGCTGGTCTTACCATACGATTGTACTCATTTCATTTCATACCAGAGAAAGAGAGTTTACGGATGGCTTAGGCCAGGCTAACATTTTGCATGTTGGAATAAGGACAAGGATGGTTCTCCATTTGTCAAGTTTCTGTCTGAAAAAGCTGATCTAAGGATGTGACAGAAGCCAAATATACATGCATGTGAACACGTGTGATAAAACCAAACAGTTTTGAGAGTTATAGAAACGAGTAAGCTGGATCTTTATGACATAGATCAAATGTTGTAGCTTGAAAGTTAGGTTTAAGGGGATGCAGAATATATAGGTACTGCCTCTGCACACAGAAAGACACTCTCCCTCAGTCTCCTCTTTGTCTCCAGCACTGTGCCGTTTGCTTGGCCTCTTTCACTCACGGATCAGGTTTAGGTTGTGTGTCCAGATGGTTTCGGTTACAGCGGGTCAGAAGAAGAGGAGCGATACGGTAACGACCCCCCCTCTTTCTCATTTCACCCCTTTATTCTCTTTCCCCTCCCACATATAAACCACAGACACAATCTCACAGACAGATGCAACTATTCGAGCTGAAAGAACCAGTTGAGCCAGGTGCTGCATGGTTTCATAAAATCGCCAGACTAAATATTTGTATGTGAAAAGTTTCTCGGAAGACAAGGGCTTAAAAAAAAACTGGGGTTGTTTACGGCATAAGTATTGTAGTCTGGTCAGTTTCTGCTCAGAGTGGATTTGACTCTCTATGTCCAGATCTTAGATGAATGTGTCCATTATACGAGCCTTAAAGGTTAGGGAAGATGGTGACCTACTTTTGTGTATTTATTCCCTTGTTCGTTGTTTGGGCCACTCTCTTAAAGCAGAAATATTAAGCATCATCTCATACGATTTGAAGTGAGACTAAATGCGACCTTTTAGTTTGTCCTTTTATTTTCTATATTGTGAAATAACATCTTAAGCATGGTGAAACTATCTTAAGATACCACCAGAAGGAGGAATGGAATTGGTTTTGCTTTTCTCCAAATTTGAAAAGGACAAATGTAAACAATGGCCTTACAGCTGAAACATTGTCAAACCTAATTTACTACTTAGTTAATAATGTGTTTTAAAAGTCAAAAACTGCTCTGAGTGTGATGTCCAAGAGGTACAATGACATCAAACTATTAAAAACAACAGTTCCTAAAAGTTGAGTTTGCATAATATGTATCCTTTAATTATTTAAAATGTCTTATTATAGGTTATTCCTGTGTTTTGTTTCAGGGATGTCAGGATAAATCCTTTTCATGTAAAAATGAGTGTGTCAGGTTGTAAGATGAGAATTGAATGTTGGACTTAACTGATTTAACACAGCATTCCACACAAATGGGCAAGATTAAGCATGCCACCCCATACCTGCATGATTATTCATCCTATCCACATTAAACTTTAACTGTCAGAATGTATACCTTATTTGTTAATATTCTTTATGATGTTTCTCAGTTGAATCTGGGGTGCCAAAATTCCAAAGTAATAAGTAATAAAACCCAGGTAACTAGTTGCTCACTATTTTTCACATGCATGTATTTTTTTGCCCTTTGTCAAGTGAAAAAGAGGAGACAACCCCCCATCAGCGTCAAAAAGTGACTCACAGGGCTCTTTCTTTCAAGTATATAAGGAAGACAGCATGTTGTTGTCTGATTTGTTCACAGCATTTTATTTATTTCAAGATAAATTTTAGTAACTTTTGTTGGGAAAGCAGCATTTGTTATTGAAAAAGACAAAAAGCTAGATCCCCCAGCTTAAATCCTTATTTTTGTGTGTTTTGTAGACCTCATTTACCCCCGGTTCAGCCCAGTTCAAATACTTTCTGGGCAGATACCCCACTGGTTTTACCTTCTGTTGTCCGATCCAAGCCATGGCATCACTGAATAGTCGCCCTCCATCTGCAGAACCAATACTGGGTTTCTTTCTCCTTGTCCCCATCCCACCACCACTGAACTGCTGTTGTATGGCTGCAGACATGTGCTGGAGCTGGTCCAAACTGCGAGGCAAGACAAAACAAACTATAAATCTGTGTGCAAGTCCTAGAAAGTGAATGCTAATGTGGCTGCTAGTTAAAAAGGTCCCGCGAGGCCAAGAATGTTTTGTGCAAGTCGCTGCATATGTGATACAGACGAGTGAAATGAAATGCAGCTGCCACAAAAGTCTAAAAAAGGAGTATGTTCAGGGAATGCTGATTCAGCCGTTTGTACTGACATTTTGAGAGCTTTCCGTGTCATCATATAAACAGTAGATTTATTGAATAATTCATATACATCCAAACTACGACAAAGCAATCAGTGACTAGAGTAGAGCATTTCACACAGTGGTAAGAATGAACAAATATCTGGTGGATCTATCCTGAACTAAATCCGCTGTGTACTGATGTATTTCAGGAGAGAGTCCATGATTTGAACACCCTTGTATTTCCCAAACTTCTAAAACACAATAAATAATACAAGTTTGAAGTCCTTTGTGCACATTTTCTATTGGTAGGTTTGCCACTTACACTGTTGCTTTGTCAAAAATATGAATATCATGTTGCTTTTTCTATTCTCACTGTGAGAGAAGTAGCCAGTCCACAGATCTGACCTGGATCTAAGCCCAGTGGATGAGTTTTCATGTCAGACTGTGGGATATCTGCAGCAAAGCATTACCTATAGAGAACTTACTATGTGCATTTTAAAGTAGAAATCTACTGGCTAATAAGTATTCAGTAAAACATAAAATAAGCCTTTTGCCAGCGAGCCTTGAGATGTCGCAAAATATGACAATTCCTGGTCAGATATTTAGGTATAATACTGCATGTTATCAGTCATTGGAATAGCAATAATTATAACCCCGTTCACTGTTCAATTAAACTGTGGGAATTGATTTTAAAGTTGCTAAAAAAGAAAGAAAAACGTGTGGAGGGGAGAGAAAGATGATGGGGATAGGTGTGGGGTCAGAGTGTGTGTGTGTGTGTGTGTGTGCTTTGTTTTGTGTCGTATCAGTGAGAGAAGCTGGAACCAAATAAGCATTTGCTTTTGTCCAATCCCTTTTCAAAGTATGTATTACTGTTGATTTATCGTGTTGTTTTTGTCTTTTTGTGTACAAGCTGGAAATATATAGCGACATTATAATATATGTATATGTATGCAGTAACTGAACAGACTTCGGACACTTCTAAATTGGGTTAGAACAACTTTTTTTACACATTTGCCAACTTGTGTATGCCATGGACAGTGAAGAAACTGGTTAGTGTTGCGTTAGATGGGTGCGTTCCATGACCATTGTTTTTCAGTTTATGTAAGCGCAACAAGGATTCTTACTTTCTGAAGATGTCATTCGGGATCCGCATTTGCTGTAGCTCCATGCCGCAAGCTTTGAGCTGATCCATTGACTCGTAGGCCAATCCCAGCATCTTCTCTGCTTCCAAAGGCGGACCACCCTGCATTATAAAGCACAAACCACAATTACCCATACAATGCAGCAATCTCGGTGATCTGTGATAGAAACGTGACACTAATTCCGAGATAATGCAGTTTACTTTATCCAAAACAGACAATGATTTCCAGTCAAAGGGTTCATTATGGCGTACTTACACCCTGGATGATCATCTTTGCTCTTTGAAGGTATTCTTGGCACTGACTTGTGAGGTATACAGACTTCTGCTGGATGCCTTGTGCACTGAAACCATGGGAAAAAACACATATAAATACATTGGATTTGGAAAGCATAACTGTGTAAATAAAAGTTAAGCTATGCATTATAATGTGTGTGAATTTTTTGTTGTTGAGTAATGTGGGTTTTCATTGTCTGTTGTGTTACATGAGAGTTGGGTCACCATTTCCACATAACACATATTGCATCTGTGATAATTAAATTATCACAGCACACAGCGAGTAAGGAGAGAGAGGTGTAGGGTTAGTTAGTTTTGAGCCTGTGTCTTGTCTGTGTGAATAAGTGGGTATGTGTGTGTCTGTGTGAATGCGTGGGTGTGTGCGTGTGTGTCTTGATTTTGTCTTGATTTTGTCTTGTCTCATGCCACCGGTGTTAATGTGTGTATATGAGTGTGTGTGTGTGTGTGTTATGCTGTTGTGTCTTTTTTGCTGTTTATTGAAGGGTGCTGTAGACTGTGTAGAGTACTGCTTATTTTTTTATGTTTTTAATTTCAATTTTTTACTTATTTTTGTATAGCATTGTAGTGTGTGTAAGTAAGTAAGTAAGTAAGCTTTATTTATATACCGCCTTTCACAGACCAGAGTCACAAAGCGGTTTACAATTGTTATTTTTGGGCACTTGTCCTCTCACTCCACACAGAGATGGGAGCGGGGTCGCCGAACAGGAGGCGCATGCCAGACCTATTGTACATATTTTTAGTGGTAGGGAAAACCGGAGTACCCGGAGGAAACCTACGCAGACACGGGGAGAACATGCAAACTCCACTCAGAAAGGCCCTGGTCTGGCCGGGATTCGAACCCAGGACCTTCTTGCTGAGAGGCGAGAGTGCTATCCACTCAGCCACCGTGCCGCCACCGTGTCTGAATGGCTGGGAGTATTTTTCTCAATCCAATCCCTTTTGAAGCCAACATTTTATTTTTATATTTATTTTTTTGTTTTGATTATTGTATTCTATTATTCTGTGAATAATTGTTTGTACATAAATTAATCAATTCATCTATCATTACATGCGATGATATATATATCTATATACTATGAGCTTGGAATGTGAACTTGTGAATTACATGTGAATTTTCTTGTAAAACGTTTGAAGATCACATCATTCAGTGGAAGTGGGAGTTTAGTCACAGGGGCCGTGTGTTTTGCTTATCTTCCATGATTCATAGCATTAGGCAACAATTCGTAAAAAAATGTAAAACGCCTAAAAGGAACTTGCTAGCTAAAATAGATCGTTTGCATTCCCCGGGCGCCATGGCAACTGTATGTTTTAATTAGCTAGACCTATAAGCATTAAAACCAGTTGGATAACATTGTGTGTTCACTTATCTTTGTCTGTATAACCATTAACTTATATCGTAATTGCTAACACTATACAGTTACCACCAGACCATTTTCATTGTCTACATGTTATTCAAACTTTGCTAACTTCTTTAAAGTTTTTTTTTTTCTCGTATGACCCATGAACGCAACAGGTGACACTTTTAACCTTGCATATTTTTTGCCGAGTGGGCTTGTTTGTTTTGTACTTTATTGTCTACATATTTTATAATACAGTATTTTAAATAATACTGTATTATAATACTAGTAATAACAATAATAATAATTAAAAAAATACAAATGACAATGACAATGACAATAATAATAATAATAATAATAATAATAACAACAATATTAATTATATATATATATAAAAAAAAAAAAACAATAGTTATTACCTGAGTGCCCCTCCTCCTCCTCCACCGCCTCCCATGCTCATCTGCACTTTCTGCCCCCCATGTCCTCCCCCGTGCATGGAGGTCCGGGAGTAGGACGTGGTGTAGCCGTATCCGCCGCCGTCATTGTATTCCCCAGCGAAACCATTCCCACCGACAAAAACGTCGTTCCGAAAGCCTGACAAATCCTGCCGAGAATTACTCCGTTGGCCCAGCGTCGCCAGCTTCGGGTTCGAACCGTACATACTCATCTTGGAAGTGTTTTGTGAAGGGGAAAAAAGTCGCGTTTTAGTTGGATAGTTGTGTGGACTGGACTGCGCCTCTCCTCCTCCTCCTTCTCCTGTTGCGCAGATAGGCTCTGGTATGAATAGACGGAAGCAGCTCTCTTTTGGATTGAAACCACACCTTTTTGCGCTGTTTACGAAACACTTCCACAACCGCAAAAGCCAGTATGATAGGGCTGTCAATCGTCTGTCGCCCTATAGTAGTACCTGCATGTTTGAAAGGGAAAAAAAATGCTTTGGCACAAACTGTGGGAGGCATTACTTTGCATGTCTTCTTGGGAACTTTTCAAACTGGGTCGCATTACGTTACAAGCAGGTGTATACACTTGGTATTGTCTATAGCACGCATCCAAATGTTATGTACCAGCTTTACTCAGCACATTCTGGAATTTTTGTGAGTGCGTAAAAGCTTTTTTCAACCAGACATGTTGGCTTTACGCACAGCACAACCCACATTCTTTCGCTTAGCCTAGTTAATACAGTATTTATTACACCTGCCTGGCTTTATCTGAGTGCTTTAGCTTTGTTGTGGTTGAGATGCATGGACACTTATACATCTTTACTGAAGCCATATACTTTTTTGTTTGTTTTTATTTTAGATAGAGATTAGTTGCATTTGGAAGCACACCGGACTGTAGACAAATCCATTAAAGCTGGTTCACTTAACTTTCCCCCTCACAAATAATTCATTCATTTCAGACCACAACTCTATAAGAAATGGACTGAGAGTTGATTGGCTGAGTGAGGGTCTTTTCACTTTTCATTCTTGAAAAGCTGACCTAAAGATGCAACTTAGGCCAAAAATACACGTGAAAAGCATAGACTGTAATCTAGTGATAGAACCAAAGCTGCTTGAAAACCATGATAGTTACATGATTCCATGCCTTTATTGATGGTGTGGAATTTGGGGAACCCACTTATAAAAGACATACAATACATAACGGCTAATATTATACACATTTTACACCTATATGAGGATGTGCACCTACTTATAGAAATAACACATGCGACAATGACAAATAAATCCTCTTTCTGTTTATAGGAGTGACAGAGTGCAAGCAAATATCCTCAGGGGGCAGTAAGATGCTGCAAGGTTGTGTGAAGAATTTGCATCTTGGGTTCAACATTCTTGAGGTCAGAAGAGTGTCCTGTTTACGCGTTCATCCGGCTCTTCGAGATATTTGGTAAACCACACTGCTCTGGGACATATTGTGTCTGTCTCGCTGCATTTTGTCCCTTTGGCTACTTTCCATTTTTCACCTGCAGACATGTACCTACCAAATGGGTGTGTCTCTTAAAAAGTGAAAGGCGTGGAGCGGTGCAATGACGTGCAATGATGAGTTTAAACTTTTTTTACGAGTATTGGCTCATGTTGCGTGTGCGTATTCACATGTGCAGTGAAGGAACACCATAAGTCCCACTGCAAAAACAGTCATGTGTAAATGCTCCATTCTCCATTGGCTGCTTGCGTTAGGGATTATGTCTAATGCAAAGACAACTTCAAGTATCTCTAAGAAAAACATTTGACGCAAAATCAGACACACCCCACTGAGGAATTCAAATTTGTTCTCACCATTATCCATGAAATGTCATTAGTGGCTCAACTTGTCACAAAAAATTGAAGTAGATAAATAATTAATATTCCGTTCTACAGTAGCAGTATCTTATCTGTAATGTAGTTCTCAAGGTGACACCAAAAGGACCCACCCAATGCATTTTGCTTGTGTGTTTCAAGACTTTATTATATACTGTTTAAACAAAGCCGGCTGCAGGACTGAACTTGCGTTTCTAAACATCCTCTTTGTCACGGAAAAGGGAACGACCAAGTTGTGCAGCCAAGATTATGTTAATTAGGGTAATTAAGATGGAACTACATATTTCAAACCCAGAGAACTTGGCGTACTGTTAGGACACATAGGCAGAGATACAGTTGCCTTATGCCTGAGTCAAATTGAAGATGTCTTATATATATATAATGGAAACTAAATGAATAAATGGTAGTGTTTGGAGTTAATATACAGTCTATGGAGTTACCCCATACACACACATACGTTTTTTCCCCCCTGCTATTGTTATCAGCAGGGCCTTTGCAATGCATCTTGTTAATGTCCCATAAAACAAAAGGAGTCATTCAGTAAGTAAACACATTTACTTTTCGTGAATTCCCAATAGAAAATAAACAATATACCGCCTTGTTTCATTGTTACTTGTTACTCAGTTTGATGAACCCTCTTTCAGGTCATAGAATCAGTCCATCTTGATACTACTGGGATTACTTATTTATGCTCTTTTATGGGACTTTTCAAACTCAAAATATTTTAAGATAAGTCATCACCAAATCTCCCAGAAATGTCCTGTTTATGTAGTTGTATTTAGTGTATATACTTGCTCAAATTAGTATTCTTTAGTATAGTTTTAGCAGCAATTCATATCTGATTATAACACCTTTGACAGCCCTACAGTACATAGCATTGATATACAGTAGGATGAATGTTTTTGAGATATAGGTCTGGCCCTTCGAAATCATTTTAGCATGCTTTGTTGAATTGGATAAATACACAAGTTTTTTCACTAATAAATACAAACAAATACACAATATTATCCCTTATCTCCTCTTGAATCTATGCTTTTGTCACCTATGCTACTATTTTTTTTACCTAATTCACTCAAAAGCGTTTTTCTATCTGCACTAAAAGCTTTGCCTCTCTTCTCTGTAACAGTAAATAATTAACTTGACCCTTTGGACTATACTTGAAATATTTTTTTTTTTTTTTTTCGGTGTGTTTATAGAAAATATATACTGGTAGACTGTATGCCATAAAAGGTCATGGCTGAGGCAGGAATCTAACACCTGGTTGAGTGCGAGAAATGATGTGCGAGGCTTGTCCGTCGAGTGATTCATAGACATGGTGATCTTTTGACTCTCGCAGACGCACTCCTGATATCATTTCCAGACACGGGGCCTTACGTCATACCCCAGCGCACAGCCAAAATACTTTACAGGTGCTTATTACCGACATTGAGTCACACTGTCCTGTTTATTGTGATGTTTATCCTGTTTCCACAATGGTCGTGAAGGACACCGGTCTTTCAGATTAGATAGTTTCGTGGTAACAAATACAAGTGTAATTTGATGTACCATGGTGTATTTGAGAAGTGTCAGACAATGCAGCAGTAGTTTAACTTGTATTGTAATGCTGTGCTTATAGACATTTTTGCAGCACTGATACTAGTACACAGTAAAAAGAGTCAAAAATGCCTCAAATTTGGCTAAATGTATCTTGATTTTAGCATATTTGGACTACCTTAAAACAAGCTTTGCCATTGAGACAAGCAAAATGATCGGTTTTAAAAGGATACAAGAAATGTCTCCTTTGGAATGAGAAAATAAAGCAATAGTTCTTGAAATACTACTACTTAATTTGCCCATGAGCAGTTGAACCAATGAAGCAACAGAAGTGGATTTGGTCTATTTTGCTGAAGTTGCACAATTTACATGAGCACGGATTAGTTATTTCTGTTAATAGCCCTTGATATTGGTGAGGGGAGGTGAGGGGATCATGGACTCGATAATATACACCATTAATAAATCACTTTCTCATTATTCTCACTGGCTAATGCCCGCCTGTGATTCCAAAGTGCAAAGAGATTGTCTACTCCCTGCTCTAAACACATATTCTGCGCACGCATTTTTCTTTATAATAATTGTTATCTTAGCAGGGTTTAATACTGAACACTCTGAATGTTATCTTAAAAGTGAGATTTTCGCAGGCCACACCTTAGGGCGGTGATTGTCTGTTGCTCAAGGGTAACACAACGATAGCTGGAAGCCACAATGCTTACACACAGTCACGCCATGAGTCACTGGTCGGGGCGGGGCAGCTGCCACACCTGTTGTCAGGGTGGAGAGGTGCATTTGAAAGATACTGCCCTGCGAGGGAGAGCAGGGAACAAAGTACAACGGTTAAAAAGGGTTTCTGTTGGCATGCAGCCACGTACTGTAAGGATTGTAAATGTTTGTATATGTGTACGTTCATAAAAGCAGTCTGCAAAAATACAATGTTTCTCTCAAGTGTATTATTCATCAATCATGATTAAGTTATTACTGGGAAAAGATTGAGAGAAAGTGTTGTTTCCCATTAAAAGTAAGTTTCCTTCATGCACATCATCTTCATGTTTGAATGCAATAAAATACACCAATTGTGTTTGGTTCTAAAGTGAAATGCCAGAGAATTGTATCACAAACGGTCGTGGCAGATGTAATTATACAATTATCCACCAGAGGTCAGCAGCGCACTTAATAACACCTGCGCAAGCTCCATAGAATGATTATAGATTTCTATTAATATTAATGTTACTGTTATTTTTTTTTATGATGATGTAGTAATCATGTCAAAACATACTTTGATATATATCTATTTTTCTATCTATCAGGACAATGTAAAAAAATACACACAATGGTTTGCAGCGGTAGTTGGAGGGCTAATTTCCATCTTTATGAAAAAAGATACTTATTAATTTCAGATGTTTTATTAGATGGATATTTATTCACTGAGGCGTTCATTCCCGTCCAATATGATCAGTGCTGCTTGTTCGTGTTAAAAAGTTAAATCATGTAATAACAGCTTTTCTCCAGCAGGAGGCACCATTGGTAAATACACAGGGGACTGTACCACGATTAGGTTACTAGCAGTTTAGATAAAACAGAAGTATTGTTTGGTGTTGAATCAAACATACTACATCAAAACAATAAACTGCCAGTATCTCTCTGACACTTTACTCTAGCCTTTGTCAATTGCAATAGAATTAAAGTAACTTTGAGTACTATTATATTATTTTCAACTATAGCCTGCATGGCACTTGTCAGAACGTACACAGATTTCTTCATACTGGGCTGGCAAATGCAAGCAGAGATAAGTTTGATTAATGCTGTGATCTTATACGATTAATAGATACCCTGTCTTCAA